CTGTTTCTTAGGAGGAGTGCTGAGCCTGAAATCACAAGACAGTTGGTCAGTATCAAAAGATGGACAGGAAGCAGAGGAGAGCTGGGAAAACTGGAATCCACAAAGAACCATCTGGAACACGCATCTGTCTATCACCAAAAGCCATATAGGCCTTTTCCTATCTCTGAGACTCCACCCTCATTGCCGGGTATGCTCTAAACAGAAGCTGGTATTCTTTCTGTAGAGCCACACCCTCTCCTCTACCAGGACTTGTGAAATGGAAGCAACTGATCTCCAGGGACTGGAGCTTTGGGCCGAGTCCATGCATCAAGCCAGCAGGTCTGTGAAAACGTGCATGAGCTGCCGCAAAGTCTGACTTGCGGGGACCTTCCAAGAATACACACAGCTTCAGCTTCACTTTCATCTTCCAAATCTTGCACAAGTTGCTTTTAGGGCCTATCTTAACCAGGTGCATACAAAAAGGGAATTCTGGGAAATGTAGTTTCAATTAGCCAAGTTAGCATATTACAAAGCCATCAAGTGGGAAAATAAAAACTTACTGCTGTATGCCACTAAGACTTGGGGGTTGATTTTTACTATGGCATAACTGTTATGATAAGAATTGCTAGCTTCCAACTCTTTCCAGATTATTAGCCTGTCCAGGCTTTGGCCCATATATCTCTTTCTGGCCCTTCTGTGTTATGTGTGGCAGAGAACCCAGCCAGACTTAGATGATAAAAAATCTTATTCACATATTATTAAGTGCCTACTATGCTAATCATAGAAACTGTGATAGCAAACTAGAAAAGCATTCTCCTTACTCTCTGAGAACTCACAGTGTAGCAGAAGGAACCAACATGGACAGAAACTTTGCTCATTAATTGCAACTGTGATGCATCCTCTGAAAGGAATGTGCAGACAGCTATGGGATCCATAACCTAGTCTGGGAGGGTCAGAGAGGCTATTCAAAGAAAAAGCTCTTTCAGAAAGAGATGGGAGGTGAAGAAAATAGCACATTCCAAGGGCCTGAGATGGAGCAAAGCTAGGGAAGCTAAAAGGAAGCCAGTACAGTTGAATTCTAAAAAGAAAGATGGGGCCTGTTGAGGGAACAATGAGGCTGAAAAATAGTCAGGACCAGACCCTACCAGACCTGGCAGGCCATGAAGAGGATTTAGAACTTGACAGGAGAGAGGAACAAGGGCAGACACTGATGGTTTAATCAGGGGAGTGACATGATCAGATATTCTATTGGAAAGGTCACTCTGGCCATGGCTTGGGGAATGTGTTGGAGAGAGGCCAAGTGGCCTTGGCATGTTGGCACAGAAGTCCAGGTAACAGGTACAGTACACACACACACACACACACACACACACACACACACATTTCCTGGTTCATATTTTTCATTATGTAATGTACGTTATTGATAGCTATTATTATATGGCTTATGCATACTGATTTGATGTCGCTGGAGCCCCAGAGCAGATAGTGGAGATGGAGACTTAGATGGTAAGTCTAAGAGCTACATGAAGAGGAGTCACAATTTCAAGTCCGTGTTCAAAAGCTACATGGAGAGGAGTCACGATTTCTCCCAGTTTTCTGGCATGAGTGATTGGGTGGAAGATGTTGTCATCTAATAGGACACAGAGTTCCAGAGCAGGATGAGGCTTGGGTAAGAAGAGACATCATGAGTACATGAGGGATTTAAGCAAGCATGCAGGCATGTTTGTTCATTGCTTGTAGTATGTTAAAATCGAATTTGTCAAGTTCGTCAACTGATGTCAGCATTTCCTAACATGAGTTCTTTAGCATCCTGCCTGTCAAAGAGTATCTTACGGACTAACAGTTTTGGCTTTACCTGGGAGCTGATATGAAACACTGTCTCCAATTCCCTTACTTCTGTAAGATCCTCTGTGATTTGTAGCACATGAAAGTTTGCAGTACACAGCTCTGAAACCCGGGTCTTGGGAGATGTGTGTTATGTGACTAAAAGATTCTCAAGGCAAATAATTTTGACAGATGGTGAGATCATGTTTCCTGTGTATAGTAGCAAGTCCGAATATCATTTAAATGGTTCTATAGTGACCTCCATTACAGAGACCTATGTTTTCTAGGACTTGTTGTACCTAAATTTACCACTAATCTTTTCCCCATCCACACGCATCACCTCCATTAATAGTGGAGGATTGAATATTCTGTGGAACATGCTTTTAGAAACACTGATTTGTAACATACAGAATAAAAGTTCTGAAGGCAAGTCTACCTGGATGTAATTAATTTATTTGTTACTTCTACAAACATTAATTGATAACCTACTATATGGGAAGCACTATTCTTGATACTTGGGCTATTAAAATGAAGAAAAATGGCAATATTCTTTGCTCCTTTAAGGCTTATGTTCTGGCTGAGGAGTATGTTTCTTATTACAAGGAATGAATTGAGTGACATATTCCTTGGTAAAAAGTGCTGAGGAGAAGAATAAAGCAGGAAGAGACTAGGAGGGCAACTTAATTAGAAGCAAGGCAGTGGAGCAAAGAGCTGAGGGAGGGGAGGAAGAAAGCCCTATGACCCTTAGGGTGAGGGAACGCTAACCTCAAAGATCTTAACGTAGACCCATGTCTAGTGTTTGAGAAACAACAAGAAGATGAGTGGGCCTCAAGAGAGATGATTGAGAGGGGAGCCATAGGGTTGGAATTTAGTTCTGGGCCTTGGCAATTTTGAAAGATTTATGCAAACTCTATAAACCTCTGTCCTGCATGTGGATAATAATTGCACTTATTTTCTAGGGCTGTGTGAGGTTGAAACAAGATTACATATGTACAGTGTTTAGTGCAGTGTCTGGTTTGTAAGAAATGCTGACACATGTTGGCTATGATCATTATCACTTATAGGTTAAGAATGCAAACTCAGGAGCCATCTCACCAGGGTTTGAATCCTAGCTCTACTTACTTATCACGTACTGGCTATGTGAATTTGGGCAATTCTCTAAACTCAGTTTGCTCTTCTGTAAAATGAGAATAATAATAGACCATCTCCCATGGAATTGATATAACAGTTAATGTATTGATATGTGGAAAGGCCTTAGAGCAGTGCCTGGTACATAGTAAGCACTCCTTAAAGTTAGCAATTATTATGATCATTAATAATAAGGTTCTAATATTTACCAGATCGTTAAAAAAAAAGTAGACCAAAGTCTTTCTGATGTGAACTCTTTGGAGAAGTGGGTTTGTGGGCACAGGAAGAGTGGAGGGTCTCGAATAAGTCAGAAAGATTTTCCTCCCTCATCTGGAAGAGATAAGCCAAGGCTGGAAGCGGGAGGATGAGAGATAAGCAAAACAGGAAAAGGAGAAGAAGAAGAGAACTGTGATTTCCAATGAAGAGAACACCAGACAGCTGTGGAGCAGAGTAGCTGTCTGGTAAATCTAGGCAGATGTGACCAGAAGTAGCCTTGAGTAAATGTGACTATATTCTACAGGAGTCACTAAAGCAGCAGAGAGTCAGCAATGACAGATGGCTCAGGAAGAGACCTGTGTTAGGACTATGCATCTGCTAGCCGTTGCTGTGTAACAAATTACCTCAAAACGTGGTGGCTTGAAACACCATTTGTCACCTCCCAGTTTGTGTGGGCCACGGAGCTGGGCAGGGCTAGCCTGGGTTGTCTGCTTCTGGGTCTTTCTTGGTTCCAATCAAGCATTAGATGGTGCTGCACTCAGCTCAAGGCTCACCTGGAGAAGGTTCCACTTCCAAGCTCACACACTTGGTTCTTGGCTGGATTCCTGGCTGTTGGATGGAGCATCAGACCCTTACTGGCTTTTGAGACAACTCTTGATTCCTTGCCACATGGGCTTCTCCACCATGGCATCTTGCTTCATCAAAGCGGGCAAGCCAAGAAAGTAACAGAGTCCAGCAAGACAGAAGCCTCATCATGGTAGTGGAAACCCAGCACCTTTTCCTTACTCTATTTACAAGGAGTACATCAGCAGCCTTAGTCCACACTTGAGGGATGGAGATTAGACATGAAGTTCCAGAGACAGAGAACTTTGAAATTAGATGGACCCTCCTCCTGACAACTTCTTCTGCCTAAAACATGTTCTACAGAAGATCCTGCCATGTGGCAGAACCTCGGGGAAAGGGAATCACAAGAAAGGATGAGATTAACTTTTTTGCCAACCTGACCAGCTGGTGCCTCAGAAGAGAACTTGATTTGCAGAAAACGAATAAGGAATACACCTTGCATATCTCTGCTGAGGACTCAATTATTTCTCATTTCTTTTATTTCATTGAATTATTCAAGCTATCATGTGACATGTATATTTTTATGCTTATAATTGAGAAAACTGCAACTCAGAGGAGTAAGTCACAAATCTGAGGTCACACAGCTAAGGTGGTAGACAGGTTGAATCTCTGTCTATATGACCCCCAAACCCACACTCTTTCCACTATGCAGTAGTACCTCAATGTTGCTGGAATATATATTTGAATGTACATTTCTTTTATCACTTGTAATAGTACAGACGTGTACGAACCCACAAACACCATCAAGTCTTTGAGCTCTACTATAATGTAAATGTAAAATGCCATCTATACAGTTTTTTTGTAAAGTCCAATCTTCATTAGATAAATTTACTGCCTCTATAGAAATTTTCATAAGATCAAGCTCTTGCTATTTAGTAGTATTCTGAATTTAATAGCATCAGTGCATTATCCTCAATACATTTAAGTGATTTGGACAAAGATCACTACTCTGCACTACTTGTAACTGAATGTGGCCAGATGATGAGCAAGAAGTGAGACTGAAAGTCTTTCTCATGTTCTTGCAGCCAAAGGTGACAAGCTAGCTCAGCAAACCACCCCTCCAGTGACCAGGTTGTAACCAGCTGGCCTGTCACACGGGCTGCACATTCCCTGCTGCTGGCCCAGGAAACTCTGTGAAATCTTCACCACACTCCTCAGTGTGAATGCCACTGATGTGAGCCCAACAGGAAGTATGACCTCATTCTGCTTCTTTGTCTCTGGTTACGCAGGCTGTTTTCAAAAGAAAACAAGAGAAGTTGTAAGACTGACTGTCCCAAGAACTATACGCTCATTTATACCAGAAAACAGACAAGAGAAGAAGAGGCTGCTGAAGACAAAAACTTCTCTGCAAACACCTGTGCACGGCAATGTGTGTGGGCATCTGTGAGAAGAAGGTAGGGTGGGATTCCCTTTATTAAGAGACTTTTGCACCTGTTGACATTCAGACATTTTTTTTCAGCTGAGGAACTGCTCAGTCCTCAAATTTTCCACTGTCAACCACAGGAAGCTTCATATTTCAGTAATAATTTTGTCCTTTGTCAATTGGAAGAAGAGGCTGGGAACTCCCTTTGGAAGGAACATGTATGCACACATTTTTCAGAATAGATGTGTTGCTTTGATGGAACTGGCAGATTCTGTTTCTTGAAAAGTTTTAGATCTATAACTGAAGGGTTTTTTTCTACTGTTACTAATTTTCTATTGAATGTCAGTGTACTGCCTGTAGATTCCTCTAAGCACTTGTAAGATAGAGCAATAAGACCTTACTTTCTGCTGCAGGATTTACAGGCTTAAAATTAAGCTTAATACTTGGGGAACACTAAAATAAGGTAATTTGGGCTGGGCATATCCATACAATATTGATCAAAAATGAAAAGAACAAGTGACATACTAATATATTACATTACATTGGGATTATTTGATATCCCAAACAAATGAAATTTGTAAATGTGTGCTTTGATTTAGAGATCTTCCAAGGAAGGCCAGAAAGTTCTCCTGACGTCTTTGAAGGTCTCTATAAACCAGGTTTATAGTTTCCTAATAGAGTTTGTATATATTTATTGAAATAGTCAACTTGAAGCTATAGAATTAGCCTGGTTTGATTGATTGTATTACAGCTACAAAAACAATCCATTACTAGTTCTCACGTTACAAAATGTGGCCATAGGTGGTGAATCAGAAAAGAATTTAGTTCTACCTTATAAAGTGATTAGGATAGTGATACTATATACAAAGTTTCATAGTCAACAGAAGTTGGTTCTATTTGATGAACAGTAAATGATCAAAGTTTGCATAATTTGCATTCATTGATATGTTTTTAATTTGTAATTGAGAAATTAAATTATGTCTTCGTGGGAACTGAGTTCTAAAATCTTCCCAGTGGTATGCTATCTTTAGTGCAATGTTACTTATGCTCTTTAGGAATGTCCAGGCTGATAAAAGCTATTAAAAAACACTCTCTGTGACTACCTGTCAATGGTTCAAGTTGTTGGGCAAAAGACAGACACCAATCTCCAAGCACCTTTTGAAACTTGATAATGAAGATGATTTGTGTCAGATGATTAAAATACAAGTAAGTTTGTTTTGGGGGCTAAATTACTGTTAGACCAGTCATTTTATTAACATTTCTTAATCAAATACCTCACCTTCATTATTGTCTTTGGATTACAAATCAACCTTTTTAAGTCTAGATTTTCCAAATAAAGTATGGTTCTTATTTACAGAAAAAGGTTATTGAGATGCACTGAGCGAGGCAATGGAAAATGTTCAAAGTCATAGAGGCAGACATAACTTTAGAGAAGTTGTGTCTTCAATCTGGTCTCCTACCTTCAATTCTGTATCTCTGTATTATTTCAGTAAACAAATCTGACTAGTGCAATTAGTAGATGCCATCTGTTTTGGCATAATTTTTCTATTTTTAATATATAGTCCACCTTTTTTTAACGTCTTTTGCAGGGAATCTGTGAAGTTTGAGCAAGCGGCCTTCCCAAGATGTACCGAATATCTCAACTGATGTCAACACCAGTAGCAAGTAAATGTAGAAGAGCTGTGATACGCAATTATCTTTTGAACGATTAGACTCCTTTTAGCAATTTCCTTGCTTTGATTTTGCTGATACTCAGACCATTAACCATCTGTCAGTAGCTTGTGCTTCTTAAATGCCAGTGTTCACTTTGGCAATGATTTTGACTTCATTTTTTCCTTGAAAGAAATGTGGTATTTTTCCTTCTAGTAGAAAAAAAAAAAAACCACCGTTTTTTTTTTAGATGCCTGTGCATAAATGTGAAAGGAGATTGTTTATCAGCTACTATTAAGATGCAAAACTGTTTGTGTATAAAAAATGCTGAATGATTTTGATAGCTACTTGCAGAAAATAAGGGCGCTGTTAAAACGGTAGTGGTTTCAAGTTTCTTCCTTCCTCTTGTTATTTTCTCCCAAAACCCCACTTCTAACTCTCCCTCACACACCCACAGTTTTCTCCTTACAAATCAACCAGCCCAATCTGAAAGTCTAAATTCCTTTCTTTGTCCTAGATACTAATTGTCCGTAATGGAATCAAATTTCACTAAGCTTGTCTGTTAGGACCATTGACACCATCTCTGCACACGATAAAATTCTGCTTTAGAGTTTAGAATATTAATCAACTCCAACTTTCCCCAAGTATAAAGTCTGTTGCCATGCCTTTGGTTAAACTGGAATGAACGAATGGATGATGTTTCTATAATTAAGAATACTCACAGTCTTTATACATTGGAAAATTTTATATAAAACAAAACAAAACCTTATTTCTTCCCCACTAATGTCTTTTGCTCATTATTTTACAGTAGAAGTGTCTTAATATGCACTAAAGAGAGAGAGTCTACAACAATGATTGAATTCCTCAGTTTACTGAGTAGCTACAATAACCAACACATTGGGTAACTGATTTGGGTTTTTTCCCGTTCACACAAGACGTTTTTTTCCCATCCTTTCATGAGCTCAGTTTGATGCTAATGATTTATTATTGCCTCATTCTGCACTAAGGAACGTTTTTTGTTTTTGTTTTGTTTTGTTTTGTTTTTGAGACGGAGTCTCGCTCTGTCGCCCAGGCTGGATTACAGTGGCCGGATCTCAGCTCACTGCAAGCTCCGCCTCCCGGGTTCACGCCATTCTCCTGCCTCAGCCTCCCGAGTAGCTGGGACTACAGGCGCCCGCCAACACGCCCGGCTAATTTTTTGTGTGTTTTTGTAGAGACGGGGTTTCACCGTGTTAGCCAGAATGGTCTAGATCTCCTGATCTCGTGATCTGACCTCCTCGGCCTCCCAAAGTGCTGGTATTACAGGCGTGAGCCACTGCACCTGGAACTTCTGGAGAGTTACGTGGGAGCAGGAACAGAAGATAGAAGCCTCTAATTTATGTCTTGCTTCCAGTAGAGCCCTAGTGATAAGGGTGTCTGTACTAGTTGGAATCTTCCAGCTGAAGCTGGAACGTCAGCTATTCCCATCTTCTTACATGCCTCCACTGTTTGCAATTACACATATTGATACATGTATCAACATATGTAACTGTTGATCAGGTATGATACATTCTACTTCTCTCTCATTTGTTTACGCAGGTTCTTCCAGGTTGGAAAGAGAATATGCTGGAGAACTGTCTCCCACGTGTATTTTCCCAAGGTATGTTATGGAGCTTCTTTTAAGAAATAATAATTCTGGCCAGGCGTGCTGGCTCACACCTGTAATTCCAGCACTTTGGGAGGCCTAGGCGGAAAGATCACGAGGTCAGGAGATCGAGACCATCCTGGCTAACACAGTAAAACCCCGTCCCTACTAAAAATGCAAATTAAATTAAATTAAATTAAATTAAATTAAATTAAAATCAGCACAGCATGGTGGCGGGCGCCTGTAGTCCCAGCTATTCGGAAGGCTGAGGTGGGAGAATGACGTGAACCCAGGAGACAGAGCTTGCAGTGAGCCGAGATTGTGCCACTGCACTCCAGCCTGGGCGACAGAGCAAGACTTGTCTAAAAAAAAAAAAAAAATCATTCTTCTCTGGGCATGGTGGCTCACACCTGTAATCCCAGTACTTTGGGAGGCCAAGGTGGGTGGATCACTTGAGGTCAGGAGTTTGAGATCAGCCTGGATAAAACATGGTGAAACCTTGTCTCCACTAAAAATACAAAAATTAGCCGGGCGTGGTGGTGGTGTGCCTGTAATCCCAGCTACTCCGGAGGCTGGGGTGGAAGAATCGCTTGAACCTGGGAGGCAGAGGTTGCAGTGAGCCAAAACTGCACCACTGCATTCCAGCCTGGGCGACAGAGCGAGACTCCATCTCAAAATAATAATAATAATTATTTGGAAATAGTCCCTTTTGATGTTTCCAAAGTTTCAGATTTCTGTGTCTTACTTTGTTGTATTATTGGTTTGAAATTATTATTTTAGCTATCATCTAGTTTTGAAAGGCTATTTATTTTCAGTGCCATGTACATACTAAATGAAATCTTGCCTAATAGAATAATGAATATATATATTATAATCACATATCATATATATTAGTATCAATATATAGGCAGTTGTGAATTGTTTCTCTGGTGAGTGGTGAAACTATTGAATACTGATGAATGATTACTTTTTCTCAAACTGATATCTTTTTAAATATGCTTTCCTATCTTGTTTTATAAAAGCAACACAATTCTATACCAATGGCCTAATTTTATGCTCTACCAAAACATGTACAGTCTACCATTTTGTTGAAGTGCTACAAGGGAGTCTTTTTTCTTTCTTTTTTCAATGACTCACTGAGTGTCTCTTATTCCTTATGCAGACATCAGCTGACGTTTCCCCTAGCATGGTGAAATGTGCCTACAGCATAAAGAGATCATACATTCATTTTAGGACCGGCTCCTTCTTGTAAATTGTAGGCCTCCTGATGCTACCAAATGAATCAATATGAACAGAGGCACATGTGGAAAGGATCCATGGTTTAGAGTCAGATAGACTAGGGTTCATATCATAGCTCTGCCACTTACTAGCTATGTAAAATATCCAAGTAATTTGCTGCTTTTGCAAATCATTTTTTCCTGCTATATGATGAAGATAATAATGATACTTAGCTTTTAGAGGTTTGTGAAGAGTAGATACAGGGCAAAAAGTAGGGGGCCAGGTCATGCTCAATGTTCAATAACTCACATTAATTTGAAACAGTATTTTATTACTAGACTGAGTGCATGTATTCATTGTATATAAGCTTTTAAATGTAAAAATATCAGAAATTCAGTAGAGCATGAGGCAGATGTGTAGAAGGATGAGAGACATTTTATAATCTATCAGTGTGTAATTATCCAACATTTTTTAATGGTCCTAATGATACTTGTCCTTTCACCAACCAGTCTTTGTCCTATCCTAGGAGGTACGATTTAGGCTCTTCTAAGGCCTAGTCAGTAACCTCACAAGAAAAGAAAAGGCTTTGTCTTTAGGCAGTTAGGCACGTTGCTGGGCTTTGCTGTGGGAACGAAGCAAGAGTCAAGATCTAGAGATAATGTTGTTATCTGCTCTAAAGGTTTGATATTGTTCAGAAGGGTCCTTTTTTAAAACTATAATCCAAGTGTTGGAAGAGTGTCTTCATTTTGTTTACAATCAAGAGAGGATAGATAAAGGTGGGGCATTATAAAGGAAAGATGCCAGGGGATTAGGGAGGCTGCAGTTGATAACTGTCAAATGTTGAAACCTTGGAAATTGGAGTGCAGATAGAAATACAGGTCCAGAACTCTGAAACCTCCTAAGTGTCCAGCACCATATAGTTGCCCCATTAATTTTCACAGAGGCAAAAGGCTGTAGAAGAAAGAGCACTAGAGTCGGAGAAAAAAGATCTAGATTTTTAACTTGCCTCTCCCACTTGTAAGCCCTGAGTTATTGAACAATGAACTTAACCTACTGGAGCCTCCATTTTCATATTTATTAATAGGGATAACAAGAACCAAAATGTTCTGTTAAAGTGCATGTCTGGAAATAGTCCCTTTTGATGTTTCCAAAGTCTCAGATTTCTACCCATACTATTCAATATTTTTATCAATGATTTGGATTGAGAACATATAGATTCCAGGGATAACATATTTGTATGACATCATTTAATATAGTAAAAGTCTTGTGTAATATAATGAGAATCCCTCAAAATTCTTTTTTTTTTTTTTTTTTTTGAGATGGAGTCTCACTCTGTGGCCCAGGCTGGAGTGCAGTGGCCGGATCTCAGCTCACTGCAAGCTCCGCCTCCCGGGTTCATGCCATTCTCCTGCCTCAGCCTCCCGAGTAGCTGGGACTACAGGCGCCCGCCACCTCGCCCGGCTAGTTTTTTCTTGTATTTTTTAGTAGAGACTGGGTTTGACCGTGTTAGCCAGGATGGTCTCGATCTCCTGACCTCGTGATCCGCCCGTCTCTGCCTCCCAAAGTGCTGGGATTACAGGCTTGAGCCACCGCGCCCGGCCGAATCCCTCAAAATTCTAACAGCACAAAATGAATAGTCATTCAAACAGTAGGCAACATATTTAGCTTACCACCATTAGGCAATGGAAAGCATAGACATTAACAACCTCCATTAAATTATGACATTAAATATTTACAGAAATCTATGGGGTTTATTTTGGGCAATCTTTACTGCACAGATTCACATTTGTTAAAAAAAAAAAAAAATACTAAGCCTTGGAGAGAATAATTAGCAGAAGGTAGAGCCAGGATTGAAACCAAGGGTATGAACCTAGCTCTATCTGCAAAGTCTTAATTACATATTGACTTTGTAATATAAAATTGATCCAAAAGTCTAAGAGAGGAAAGGTAATTCTAAATATACAGGAAAAAGACTAGAAATTGATAGTTTATTTAGATGAGATCATGCGCATTCAGGGTGGTATGGCCATAGACTTGATAGTCTATTTAATAGTGTGATAATATGTTGGTAACTGGAGGAGAAAAAAAAGAATCAAGCTAATGTGACTTAAGCTTCATTGCTAAAGACATGGATTCTATAATGAGGGAAGTGATAGTCCCTATATCTCTTGGGCAGACACACTTAAAGGGCTAGGTTCTATGGTTGGCATGATATTTAAGAGGAACTCTAAAAAGTGGAGAATACTCAGAGAAAAGCCATCAAACTATGATAGCTAAGGGATCAAAACTACATCATGTCGTATAAAGATGAGTTAAATGAACTGGAGGACTTTTAATGTGGAGAAGCGAGGACCCAGGGAGGACATGGAAACTCTCTTTAAATAGCTGAATAGATCTCAAATGGAAGATAGAAGGAATGGAAAACGAAGGGAAAGAAAAGAAGGGAGGAAATGAACATTTATTAAGCCCATACTAGGTGCTAAGCACAGACCATTTATTTTATTATGTAATTATTAAGATAACCCAATAATAAAGATTTTTTTCTTGTTTTACATATAAGGAAACAGTCTAAGAGGCTAAGTGACTGGATTAAGGTTACTCACCTAAGCAATGACAGAGTTGGAATTATGGGCTTAGAGGGGGATTGACTTCAAATCCCCTGTCTTGTCCACTATGCTACAGCCCATATTTGTTCAGTGAAGGGTTGTGGGGGTGCTTAGTAAGTGTGGGGTCCTTCTTACTGAAGGTGTGCATGCAGAGAGGGACAATGTTTGTCAGAAATACAGCAGATGGGAAATTTGGTGGGGCTGCAGACATGACCGTCACAACTCCTTCTGATTCTTAGAATCTGTGATTTTCTGGAAGCATATGGTCCCAATTTATGCAATTAAGTGGAATACATAATATGTAAAAATTATTGAAAGCATCAAGGTAAGAGCACATGAGAGCTATTGTACTATCAGTGCTGTTAATTGATTGAAACAAAACCACCCCAAGAACTCAGATACATTCAGACGGTATATATTTTCATAGGTTTTACCAGATTTCCATAGCCTATCAGGTGATTTCATTCAGTAACTGGCATTGAGTTTATTTACATACTGAACATTTTTTAGGCTCACAATATCTGCCCTCCAGTAATGTCTAAAATAATTACTGAGGCGGACATACGTACACAAAAATCACAGTGAGATTAATTGGGGTTTAGGACAAAGAAAAATAATTTTTATGGGACAAGAGAGGGGGAAAAAACTAAGCAGTTTTGAAGAAATAACACATTACATACTCTTTTATCCAATATGGCTCTATTACTATTGTCACCAGGCTTCCACCAAACCTCACCTCAAGAAATTTTACATTTATGAAACATTTTCATAATAATTTAGTTGCCTGTCAATTATAGGGCCATGTGATTCCTTCCTTCCTTCCTTCCTTCCTTCCTTCCTTCCTTCCTTCCTTCCTTCGCTTATTTGTTTCTTCCTTTCTTCCCTTCTTTCTCTCCCTCTTTCTTTCTCTCTCTTTTCCTCCTTCCTTTAGATACAGGGTCTTTGGTATGGTGCTCAGGCTGGAGTGCAGTGGCTATTCTCAGGCATGAATAGCACACTGCAGCCTTCAAACTTCCTGGGCTAAAGGGATCCTCCTGCCTTAGCCTTCTGAGTAGCTGGGACTATAGGCACACACCACCAATCCCATCTCAACGTGATTGTTTTTTAAAACTAAGACACGTATAGGTTTACTCAAGGAATTATGAGGCTTCCCTGGATACCAAATCAGGGAAGGTAACCGTGTGCCCATTTTGTGCAGCCAACCTGGAGGGAAATTTGCACAGGCCAAAAATGATCTTTTTGACTGCATGTTCACCCTGTACCTCATATGTTTCCGGTGGCTACATAGTTATAATGTCTCTATTACAGTGACAAGATTAAAGATCTGGCAACTGGAGGGCTATTCAAAATAAGGGAGTAGAGGGGATTTTGAGCTTCCGACATCCCATCCAAAAAAATATAATAGACTAACATCAAACGTAGGTTCATCGTATGGTGAGGAAAGTGATTAGCCATCATTTTCACCAAGGTTTAAAACAGAAAGAAGCACTAAAGGTTCTGTAGTTTAATGCTGTCATAGGTGAGGAGATGAAGCCCAGAAGGTTAAGAGTGACATTCCTAATGGTTGCAGAAGTAATTGACAGTCATGAATGCAAAGATGTTATTTTCCTTCACAGTGATGAGACGTGGTTGATGTGGGACTGGATGTACTGAATAGATATTTAAAGGGCTTTCCCTTTTCCTTCTTAGTTTTACCTGTGATTCCCTGAATGGTGACCATTCTTTTGAATGCAGCTCCGTAGATCCCCTGACAGGCTCCCACTATATCTGTCGCCGAAGTCCCAGACTCCTCACCAATGGCTACTATATTTGGAACGAAGACAGCTTCCTGTGCGACAAAGATGGCAACATAACTCTGAACCCATCCCAGACCAGTGTTATGTACAAAGAGAACTTAGTTAGGTAAGTAGAGCATATTACAGAAAGAAATATGAAGTCCAATTCATCCATTAATTGTTCACTCATTCATTTATTCACCCAACTATCTTTTATAAGGAGCCCATTATTGTTCCAGACTGTGGAAATACAAAGGGTAAGAGGGAATGGGCATAGCCAACATGAAAACAAATGAGAGCGATGAAGTAATATGGGTGCCAGGATAGAAACCTGTCAGGGTGCAGTGAAGGGATAAAAGAAAGGAGATACATTTTACTTGGGGAATAGGTAAAAATAAACTCACTAGAGGTGGTGATGGCTGATTTAAGTCTTGAAAAATGTAGGATGTTAGTTAAAATAAAAATAGGAAAGAGGACTTCTGGAAAGATGGCACAGGTATGGGGTTCTGAGAGACCCTGGTAAAACTTGGAGAATAGCAAATAGTTGGGTAGGAATAAACTTAGGGTGGGAAGGGGTGTTTTGTAAGAAAGAAGACTGAGCGCAGGAGCAGGGGCTGGATGAAAGGGGTTAAATTTCAGGCTAAGGAGTTTGAGCAGTACTCTATAGATAAAGAGGGGTCATTGATAAATTATCAGATGTATTCTTAGAAAGATAATAGTGACCGCTATGGAAAGGATAGGTGGTTGGATGTGTATGAATATGTCAGTAGAGACTGAGTACAATGGGAAAAATGAAGGCAAGGTATCCATGGAATAAAAGCAAATTGTGGTAGCAATGATGAAAGAATAAGGGTGGGGAGATAGATAAAAAGAATGGTAAAGGGGTGGAATCTTGGTCATCCAAAGATGTGGGAGGTCCAACAAAGGAAGGACACTTGCATGAATCTTAGGACTCTGGTTCTGTCAAGTAGATGTATGGTAGGACCATTTATCAAGATCAGAAAGAAAGGACGGGCATGTTTGAGGAAAGAAGAGGGATGAGTTCACTTTGGATCGGTACATTTGGATAATCGCATTCATTTTCTTTTGCTTCAAAACCACCCATATGCTGACTGAATCAGTCAGCTATTGACACAATAAGGCTGTGTAACAAATAACTATCGAATCTTAATGATATAAAACAATGAGTTCACACATGTGGAAGTTAGTTGGAGTAGGTTGGTTTAGTCTGAACAAGGTTGAGGTTGGCTTCAGTTGGAATCAGTGGGCATCATATAGGTCATTCCCTTGAGACCATTTGACTACAGAAAAATGTTCTTTCCATTGTAATTATATAAATGTGAGAGGACATACCCCAACAGCAGGTACATTACAAGCCTCTGTGTGCATCAATCTGCTACCATCTCACTGATCAATTCAACTTATATGGGCAAGTTGTAATAAGGGTCAGGGAAATACACGCTACCTTTGTTGATGAGGGAAGGAGGAATTTCCTATAGGCATCTCAAACCCAGTATGTCCAAAATAGATTAGGTCACCTTTCTTTCAAAATGTTTCTCACATGATTTCTATTTCAATGAAAAGAAGCACCATTTATCCTCTGCTGTGAGTCTCTCTAGACTTGACATTTTTATTCATACATCCCTTTTAGTCAGTTGGTCAGGATAAGATGGTGTCGGTAGTAACCTATAGATCTAAATAGGTAATGTTTCAAATGAAAGCAGATTTTATTTCTTCTTCTTTTTATGTCTTTTTTTTTTTTTTTTTTTTTTTTTTTTTTTTTTTTTTTTTTTTTTTGAGATAGAGTCTTGCTCTCTTGCCAGGCTGGAGTACAGTGGCGTGATCTCGGCTCACTGCAACCTCCGACTCCCTGGTTCAAGCGATTCTTCTGCCTCAGCCTCCCAAGTAGCTGGGATTACAGGCACCCACCACCATGCCCAGCTAATTTTTGTATTTTTGGTAGAGACAGGGTTTCACCATGTTGGCCAGGATGATCTCGATCTCCTGACCTTATGATCTGCCCGCCTCCAACTCCCAAAGTGCTGGGATTACAGGTGTAAGCCATTGCACTGGGCCCAGATTTTATTTCTTGTTCATGTAATTGTCCAGCATGAGTGTTCTAGCCTAACTGGTGAGCCACCTTGAAGCAGAGACTCGGAGACCCAGATTTCTTTCATCATATGCATCTGCTAACCATGCAAGCCTTATAGAGGCTGTGGCATGGTGGAATTGCCTGGAACCAACTGGTAAAAGTGTAGAAAGAATGTGAGTTGAAGGAACACCTGCTTTCCCCAAGACTCCAGCCCATAAATGGCACAGATCACTTCTACTCACATTCCACTGGGGAGACTTTAGACTCATGACCACACCTAATGGCAAAGGAGCAGAAAGATGTAGTTCAGTTGTGTGTCCAGGTAAGGTGTATTTGGTAAGAAGTTTATTGTTTCCACGACAAACGTGAAGACCAAATGAATCTACTTCCTAAAATTATTTTGAATTGTTCCTCTTGTCTTTGTTCCCATAGCTATTTTCTTCATTCAGGCCACCATAACCTCCTGTTTAGATTTCTGCAATGATTACCTTAGCATTCTGATGCCTCCTGCATTAGCCACCTTCCAGTACATTCTCCAGGCCAGGCTACTGCAAGGTGGTTTCCTTACATTGGTTAGGCACCCTCCTTCAGGAAAGTTTTACTCCATTTTCTTTCTTCTCATTTCGCCTCACATAACTGCCGATGTTCGTTATTCAAAAAATAAAATAAATGTATTGATTGCTTTCTGTGTGCTAGGGACTATCCCAACTGGTTTGCATATATACTACCATTTGATTCCCAACTCCTGCTCTGGAATCTTATGACATAGATTTTATTACTGCCATTCCCATTTCACAAAGGTGAAACATAAGTTCAGAGAGGTTAAGTAATTTTCCCAAGCTCACAGGGCTGTTAGGTGGAAATAGGATTCCAGCTCAGATGGTCTGACTTTCAAGAATCAGTTTTGCAACATCACTTTTAACTCTAGCCCACGTTAGATAGATATTCTTGATGTTAAAGATGTTTCACCCGTACTTTTTGTTCTCAAATTTGATGAGTGCCCATCCCATAATAGGTACTCAATAAAGAGCTGTTTAGTGAATTAATGAATATAAGAATAAATGAATAAAAATTTCTAATTGCTGTTTATTCCATTTTAAATGATCTCATCATAGAACCTACAAGAATCTTTCAAATTTGGTTCATTTTCACAAGAATGTGTTCCATTGTCATGAACTCTACCATTTTTCTCAACTTGCCATTCCTGCAACCAATGACAGAGAGAGTTCAAATAAAGTAGATTTTCTCAACAGTAGCACTATTCACATTTTGCACCAGATAATTATTTGTTGTGGGCAACTGCCCTGTGCACTGTAGGATGTTTAATGACATCTCTAGCCTCTTCTCACCGTCTGCCAGGAGCACTCCTTCCCTGGTGTAACGTTAACAAAATGTCTCCAAAACCTACCAGATGTTCCCTGCAGCCAAAAATCAACGTGGTGGAGAACCATCAGGATAAAGAATGCACAAGGCTTGTTGTAATTCATCCTAACCACCAAGGGAAAGCACAATTCAAAATGCATCTTCTGGTAGCAGCTGTAGCTAAAGAGCAGAGTTTTGTGATGGGAAAACTGTTCCATGCCCTCCTTGCATGTGATGGGAAAGCTGTCTCACTCGACCTTGCATTACCTAGCTTTGGTTCAGGCCCTCACTATTTTTCACCAGTATAGTGAGCACCCTGTGCGCAGCACAGGGCTTGACACATCACAGGAAGATACGCAACAGTGACTCCCCTGTGCACTTCGATCAGCCCCTCTGCCCTCAATCTTGCACCTCTGAGCCACCCTCTGTTACCGACAATTTTGGAAATGCAAACCGAATTATGTCATCACTACTGTCTTCCCTGTAGTCATGCTTTAGAGGTCTCCCTTTGTTCCAACACTAAATTCCAACTCCCTTGTATCATATGAGAAGTCCATCATTACCTGCCTTCCTTTTACCTGTCCAGCTTCATTTCTTGGCATGACCTAATCACACCTACTGGTTCCTCGATGAACAGGTCAGATCATCTCATGCAGCTTACAACTCACTTCTCCCAGAAAAACTCCCTTGATTATCAATTAGCACTGCCACTCCTGGTGCCCTCAGAGCAGCCTCTAGGTAATCCTTTCAGAGCACGTATCTCCTATATAGCATAGCGATCAAAAGCAAAGACCATGGAGGCAGATTCTCTGAGTTTGCATCCCAACTATGTCACCTACTAGCTGCATGACCTCAACCAAGTGACTTAACCTATCTGTGCCTAAGTTTCCTGATCAGAAAAATGGGATAATAATAGTATCTGTTTCACAGAGTTGTGCTGAAGATAATGTGAGCTAATCTATGTAAAGCACTAAGAAACATGCCTGACACAGAATAAACTATAGGAAAGCATTACCTATATGTGCATTATTTTTTTTCTGTCTCCCAAAGTTCATTGTGAACTTTTCACACACAAAGTTTTGTCTTTTATCTCAGTTCTCTAGACATTGAGCCAAGGACCTGGCACACAGTAGAATTTGAGAAACTTCTGTAGAATTAATGCAGTGAGCAGACTTGGGTTGTGGAAATCACAGTTTTGAACTAAAGGTAACTATTATTAATTGTTCACCATGCTTTCATTTCTCTCTAGGATATTTAGAAAGAAAAAGAGAATCCGTCATCCCTTTTCTTCTCTCTTCAACCTCAGTACCTCCAAACCTTGGCTGCATGGAAGTATCTTTTGTGACGTCGACTCTTCTCCAAGTGAGGACAACTGGTTGGAGGGGATCAAGAGGTTGGACACAGACCATTGCAATGGAAATGGTGAGTTTTGAGTCTTCCTTTCCATAATAAAAATTTTATCTCCAAGTGGGCAGTGGTAACCCTGTGGTCCTCGACCAATGTCAGTTCCAGAGATGACAGTCATTTTGATGGAGAGATGGGCCATATTTTTAAAATTCTCTCTATATTACATGTGTGATCAAAACACATATGTGACTATGTCATGCAAAATAGCCTAATGTAAATGTGTAAATTATTAAGTTGATAATGCTGGGGAAATATTTGCACATTTCCACCGTATCTTTTCTGTAAGGAATATGGGTGGAGAAAGGATACTGGAGAGTCAGATTTAGAAGACCTATATTGGAAAAAAATGTACTGGAGTCAGGGTTCAAGTCCCAGTATGAGTACACTTGGATAGTACTTAACTTTGTTGAGTTTAAATTTCTTCATTTTTAAAACCATATATATGGTTTTTATATATATATGTGTGTGTATACATATAACTTGAAATATACATATTAGATATATATACATATTGTGTAATAACAATATTCATACAAGTAAGTATGTGTATATACATGTATATAAACACAGTGATGGGAACTCAAAGCATCTATTTTAAAATTTACTTTTCTTTTTCAACTTTTATTTTAGAATCAGAAGATACATGTGCAGGTTTGTTACCTGGGTATATTATCTGATGCTGAGGTTTGGGTTATGAATGATCCCATCACCCAGTTACTAAGCATAGTACCCAATAGTTAGTTGTTCAACCCTTGCCCCCTTCTCTCTCTCCCCCATCTAGTAGTCCCGGTGTCTACTGTTGCCATCTTTATATTCATGAATATCCGATATTTAGCTCCCACTTATAGGTGAGAACATGGGGCATTTGGTTTTCTCTTCCTGTGTTAATTTGCTTAAGATAATGGCTTCTAGCTTCAGCCATGTTGCTGCAAAGGACATGATTTCATTATTTTTAATGGCTGTGTAATATTACATGGTGTATATGTACCATTTTCTTCATTCAATTCCATGTTGATGGGAACCTAGGTTGATTCTTTGTCTTTGTTATTGTGAATAGTGCTGCCATGAAAATGTGAGTGTGTGTGTCATTTTGGTATAATGATTTGTTTCCTCTTGGATATATACCAAGTAATGGGATTGCTAGTGAAATGGTGGTTCTAAAGTCTTTGAGGAATTTCCAAACTGCTTTCCACAGTGGTTGAACTAATTTACATTCCCACCAACAGTGTGTAAACATTCCCTTTTCTCTGAAGCATCACCAACATCTGCTGTTTTTTGATTTTTAAATAATAGCCATTCTGACTGGTGTGAGATAGTGTCTCATTATGCTTTTTATTTGCATTTCTATGATGATTAGTGATGATGAACATTATTTCACATGTTTGTTGCTGCATGTATGTCTTCTTTTGAGAAGTATCTGCTCATATCTTTTGCCCATTTTAAATGGGGTTATTTGGTTTTCGCTTATTCAATTGTTTAAATTCCTAATAGGTTCTAGATATTAGACCTCTGTTAGATTCACAGTTTGTGAATATTTCTACCATTCTGTAGGTTGTCTGTTTACTCTTGTTGATAGTTTCTTTTGTTGTGCAGAAGCTCTTTAGTTTAATTAAGTTCTGTTTGTCAATTTTTGTTTTTGTTGAAATTGCTTTTGAGGACTTAGTTATAAATTATTTTCCAAGGCTGATGTCCAGAATGGTGTTGCCTAGGTTTTCTTCTAGGATTCTGCTAGTTTAAGGGAGGTCTTACATTTAAATCTTTAATCCTTCTTGAGTTTTTATATATGGAGAAAGGTAGAGGTTGTTTTATTCTTCTGCATATAGCTATCCCAGCACCATTTATTTAATAGAGAGTCCTTTCCCCATTGCTTATTTTTTGTCGACTTTGTCAAAGATTAGGTGGCTCTATGAGTGAAGCTTTATTTCTGGGTTCTCTATTCCATTCCACTGGTTTATGTATTTGTTTTTGTATCAGTACCATGCTGTTTTGGTTACTATTGCCTTATAGTATAGTTTGAAGTTGGGTAATATGATGCCTCTGGCATTGTTCTTTTTGCTTAGAATTGCTTTGACTATTCAAACTCTTTTTTGGTACCAAGTTAAATTTAAATTGAAAAATAATATTGATAGTTTGATAGGAATAGGGATAGTTTGATAGGAGTAGTTTGAATTTGTAGATTGCTTTAGGCAATGTGGCCATTTTTGTGATATTGATTCTTCCAATCCATGAGCATGAAATATTTTTCCATTTATTTGTGTCACCTGTAATTTTTTTTTTTTTTTTTTTTTTGAGACAGAGTCTCGCTCTGTCACCCAGGCTGGAGTGCAGTGGTGCAATCTCGGCTCTTTGCCTCCTGGGTTCACGCTATTCTCCTGCCTCAGCCTTCCAAGTAGCTGGGACTACAGGTGCCCGCCACCACGCCTGGCTAATTTTTCTGATTTGTAGTAGAGACAGGTTTTCACTGTGTTAGCCAGGATGGTCTCGATCTCCTGATCTCGTGATCTGCCCGCCTTGGCCTCCCAACATGCTGGGATTACAGGGGTGAGCCACCACGCCTGGCCCTGTCACTTATAATTTCTTTAAGCAGTTCTTTGTGGTTCTTCTTGTAGAGATCTTTTATGTCCTTGGTTAGAGGTATTCCCAGGTATATTATTTTTTGTGGCAATTGTAAATGAGATTGCATTCTTGATTTGACTCTCAGCTTGAACGTTGTCAGTGTACACAATGTTATTAGGATACAGAATTGACTAGTGATTTCTGTACATTGATTCTCAAAGCATATTTTAAAGATGAAATGAGACAATGACTATCAGCCATAGTTCAATGTCTGGTGCTCAGTAAGTTGTAGTTATAATTATTTTTATTACTAGAATGGAAACAACAGATATTTATTGGGCACTTACCATTTTCCAGGTACTACAGTAGGTCAGGGGATACAAAGATGAAATAAACAATGTAACCCCTGTCTTCTTGGGCCTTCTGGTTTACTGGAACAGGGGCTGGGGTTCAGCTCTTTGTTAAACAATTGCAGAAACATAACATAATGATTGTGGTAGGTGCCATGAAAAAAAGTTGTATGACACAATGGGGAATTTGACTCATTTGGAAACTTAAGAAAAGTTTCCCTGTGGAACTGGCAATGGAGATGAGTGCTAGACAATGAGGGGGATTTTGCTGGGCAAAGGGGAAAGGCAAGAACATTCTGTGCTGAGGACATGAAAACGTCTGGAGTGTGAGTTGCCTAGTGAGTAGACATGCTTGGTGAGAGAATATAGCATGCATGGTTTGAAACACAATGAGTTTAAGTTTCTTTGGGACATCCAAGAGACAATATCAAGATGGTGTTGATATTTGTAATCTGGAGCTCAGAGGAGGAATCTGAGTTAAAGTTATACATCTGGAAGTCATATCAGTATAGGTAGTCATTGAGGTCTTGCAGTGGACGAGATGGATTAGGAAGAGGGTATACAGTTTTCAAAAAAGAGAGCCTAAAGTGGAATGTTGTGAACTCAAACATTGAATAAGTGAATAGGACAGGATTAACCTGCAAAAGAGATTAGGAAGGAAGCGTTCACAGAGGTGAGTGGAAAACCAAGAGAGTGCTGTGTAATGAAATTTCTAGGATAATAGTGGTATAAAAGGTGGGAGTACTTAGCAATGGCAAATCATGCTAGAAAGGTAAATAGGATGAGGACTGAGTGTTCAACAGATTCATTGGCCTGGGGGTGACTGTTAGTGGAGTGAAGATAGCAGAAGAGAACCATGAGTACAAAGAAGAGAGAGTGAGAGGTAAGGAAATAAAGGAATGGCCTATAGAAGACCCTGATGTCTGCCGGGAAGGGAAAGGGAGAGGTGAAGGTGGACGAAGGCAAATGAGAAGATTGAGTGAGTCCCTGCTGCCTCTTCTTTCTCTTTCTCCTCCTCCTATCAACAATGGGGGAAATTTGAGCATGTGTCATGATATGGGTTGGCTGTGTCCCCACCCAAATCTCATCTTGAATTCCCATGTGTTGTGGGAGGGACCTGGTGGGAGGTAATTGAATCATGGGGGCAGGTCTTTCCCGTGCTGTTTTCGTGATAGTGAATAAGTCTCATGAGACCTGATGATTCTATAAGGGGAAGTTTCCCCGCATGAGCTCTCTCTTTCCCTGCTGCCATCCATGTAGGACGTGATTTGATCCTCCTTGCCTTCTGCCATGACTGTGAGGCTTTCCTAGTCAGGTGGAACTGTAAGTCCATTAAACCCCTTTCTTTTGTAAATTGCCCAGTCTTGGGTATGTCTTTATCACCAGCCTGAAAATGGACTAATAGATGTCACTTCATCAATAAATGGGCCTGAAATAAAAGTGAGTTTGCAGGTCCACTTTGATATATTATATACTCATTTAACAGTCATTCTTTCATTTATTCATTCACTCATCAAACTCACTGAGTATGTGCTATGTGCCAGCTATTGTACTAAACACAACACTCTTCCAAGCTAAGTAAGACATTACTTTGAGAAATTCCTGGTTTAAAACAGGTAAATAAATACATTTGCAAATAATTTGAGTATAATGCCTGAAACAGCATAAGAGATTTAAGAGTAGTATGTGGAGACAATGTCAGAGGTTTATCCAGGGGAGGCAGTGTTAGCTGTACCTAGAGGTGGCTGGGAGGGCTTGAGAGGGAGACAACATTTTAGTGGGTTTTGTTTTTTTTTTAAACATAGTCTCGCTCTGTCACCAGGCTGGAATGCAGTGGCATGATCTAGGCTCACTGCAACCTCTGACTCCCTGGTTCAAGCAATTCTCCTACCTCAGCCTCCCGTTTAGCCGGGATTATAGGCAAATGCCACCACACCCAGCTAATTTTTGTATTTTTAGTAGAGACGGGGTTTCACCATGTGGGCCAGGATGGTCTCGATCTCCTGACCTCGTGATCCACCTGCCTCAGCCTCCCAAAGTGCTTGGATTTACAGGTGTGAGCCACCGCACCTGGCTCTGAGCGGGTCTTGAAGGAGGAGTGGGATGGCT